CAGTTAGTTGGATGGTTTCTGCTCACCAGAGAACAATGCATATCTTAACAACTATGGCTCTTATTTTGAAAGAGTAAAACTTGTGAACCAGTTAAAATGCTTTCAATAATAAAATACACTCAGCTGTTTATTAAAGTAAACGTGAATACATTTATTTATTTTTAAGAATAAACTTGTGAACTTGTTTCACAAAAACAGCTTTTTCTTGTAAACTTTAATCACTAACTTTCATTTTTCAACTCAGAATAAAATCTTTTCATAAGGACTAATAATAACTAATAATAACATCATTCTTTTCTTTGACGTCAGAGAGGCTGCTGTGGACTGGAGCTCTGATGGAGGCGCTTAAAGTTTGAGTGAACATGAAGTCAGACTCCTGATGGAGGACTCGGTGTCAGCAGCCTCCGCAGAGATCACCGGACAGCTGACCCTACTCCCCCCACTCACCCATGTTGTAGCCGTACGGGGACTCGGTGGCTCCGTCCTGCAGGCTGGCCAGGATCTCGCCCTTCCCCACGTCGCTGTCGCCCACCAGCAGGAACTTGAGCAGAAAGTCGTAGGCGCGCGCCGGGCTGCTTCTGTGGCTCATGCTCGCGGCGGGTGACGGCTGTGGTGTCCCATCCTGAGATGAGAGCAGGCTTCCACCTCTCCTCCCCCCCAGGACAGCGCACTCAGACTGGAGCGTGTTCAGGAGCTGATCGGAGCGCGTCTAGCTGTGCCATCGGCGCGCTTTTACGCACGACGGTTCAGGTCCAGGTCTGCTCCCGGACTGAGGAGCAACTCATGGATCTTTGGCCTCCCCCCTCCCTGCTCCAGCTGAGGAGGTGAGGGAGGGTGTTTATCTCGGTTCGATTGGGTAATCGTTCGAGTTGCTAGGGCAACCTTGAGTCAGGATTGGACGTTGGAGACGTCCATCAGCGAGCGGGACAAGCTGTGCGATTGGCTTACTAAGTGACGTCAAGCTGAACAGAAATAGAAAAGGCAACAATTTCCTGTTTGGATTGAGAAAATAAAAGCATGACAGCGGCTGGGCGGAAGAGATGCTTTACACAGGAAGAGTCTAGAGATGAGCCTTCAGACAGACAGCAGTCCGGGTTTGATGAGGCTGATGTTCAGATCAACAAGTGCAGCACTCGGAGCAGACTGAGGCTACATTTGCAGGAGATATTTCATGATGTCCATCTGCGTCTCTCTGAGTTTTGTGAAGCAGTGACTGTCGGAAATGTCTTAATGCAGTCAAAGGAAGAAGCGTGACAATGTTATTTATACAGCACCAACTCACAACAGCAGTCACCTCAACAACATGTTTTGGCTGTTTTGGCCGTGCCCACCCTGACAACGATGAATGACATATTTGGTTGCTGTAAAACCACAAACTGGCAGGGTTGGTCCTCCCCGGGAGCAGGGAGGGGGGAGTTATCTCTTTTTTGTGTTGTGCTCTGGTTTCCCCGAGGCCGAGGCACAATAACAGCAACAGCAGATATAAATTAGTGACAAATGTAAATATGAAAACATCCTTTCAACCTGTCAGGACTGTTTGAGGTCAGACTTTAAAGCTTTGAATTTATCTTTTCTCCTTTGTTATTTTTAAATAAAGTTTAACTCCTGACTTCGGTATCCAACAAACAGGAAGCAGCACACAGTGTTCAACTCCGGATTCAGCTTTATTGATGACATCCAGCAGGTGTCA